TGTTGTTTTTTGGGGGGGGGGGCAGTGGAGGTTTCTCCCCCGGCACACGGCGTGGTCCAATCTCTCTCTGATTGTAGTCGTATACGCCGTGACAACCATTGCGGCAAATGTTACCAGCAGATCCCGCAAATCAGTTTTGGGCTTCCCGAGGACTTCTTTTGGCATCAAACGGTCATGTTTTGGGCGGCATTTGCTGGTCGGCTCATCCGGGACGGATTTAGAAGTTGTCTGAGATCTACGCAGCTTGGGAAGAGTTTACCGCAGCTCTCGCGGGAATGGCCACCGCGTAAGCGCCTGGCCCAGACGGGTCTGACACTAGCCCGTTATAAAGCCTTCAAAGATATCCTTCTCCACCACTTGGCGGCACTTGGCAATTCCCTTACCTCTGGAGGGACTCTACGACCTGAAACAACCCCCGGCCTACGTATCTGTAAAACCCAAATCCTGATCCGACCTGTTCTGGAAGCTACACAATCCCCCCGGAATATGGATATTGGGCTATACTCCGAGGTATTAGCTACGTGACCCTTGGAACGTTGGCCATTGTGGCTCACACTCGTCGTAGGCCCATGCCCACCCTTCTCCTTTCCACTGATACTGAAAAAGCCTTCCATAGGGGGGCCTGTGACTACCTCCAGGTGACCCTGAGCCATATGGGGCTTTGTACGTATGTTGGGAATGACCTTGGCACAAGTACAAAGAACTGACTGCCCAGGTACGGATTGATGAACGTGTCCATAGCGCCCTTTCCTTTACGAAACTGAACGTGCCAGTGGTGCCACCTCTCACCCTTGGATCGCTGGAGCCATTTCTACCTACGTTACTCTGGCCAGCGAAAGGGGCGTCCCCCTCTCTAGTAGACTTTGTCAGCAGTCTGTGTGCAGAAGCAGCTGGTCTCTCTCGAACAGCAGTCACCTGGTCCCAACACCATCCATTTGTTCGTAGAAGTAGTAGCGTCTCTCTATGATACAGCCGGCGAATCTTCCACAGCAACAAGTAGATCAGGCAGTCTCCTCATTGGTGCTCACAGCTATCTCTCAGCAATTCCAACAGTGATCCCTTCCCAGCTTCTCTCTCCTTTTGGGCTATAAATCAGACACTCCACAGCAGCAGGTCCTGTCGCTTCCAGTGTCCCAGCCGTCCCAGGTGTGGCTGAGTCCACACCTCCCTAGATTTTAAAGCCTCCTGGGAGCTGTAGTTTGTCCTGTGTGAATCAACATTGTCTCTCCTTGCCTCAACAGTACAGGTCCCAGAAGTCTC